AACACATTGCACCTTTTTATAAAAGAACAATCATTATTATAGTAATTCCTAACATTGCCTTACCATGATTGTCCATATACGAAATCATCTCCCAAGTCTCCATATTTTTTATCAATCGAAGAATATAGTGAATCTATAATAGAGAGACAGAAGGATTGTAATTAAAAAAAATTTTTTTATTAAATTTTGCTCGGAATCACCTCAAACTTTCTACACAACATAAGTACATGTATATGCATTAGAAAATGTAATAAAAATGAAGAATTCTCACCTTTTCAATTTTAGCAAAATTTGACCGAACCCCCTGTACTATAGTACAGGGACTTTTGCCCAATTTTTGAGAAACTTAAAAAAATTCGTAAAAAATCCAATTTTGATCGGAATTGGTTCAAACTTTCTATGCAACATAAGTACATGTATATGTATCAGAAAATTTAATAAAAAAGAAGAATTCTCACCTTTCCATTTTCGGCAAAATTTGACAAAAGTCCCTGTACTATAGTACAGGGACTTTTGCCCAATTTTTGAGAAACTTAAAAAAATTCGTAAAAAATCCAATTTTGATCGGAATTGGTTCAAACTTTCTATGCAACATAAGTACATGTATATGTATCACAAAATGTAATAAAATGGAGAATTCTCACCTTTTCATTTTTGCCAAAATTTGGCCAACATCCCTGTACTATAGTACAGGGACTTTGACCTGATTTTTAGAAACTTTAAAAATTTGTCAAAAATCCAAATTGGATCAGAATCCCTTCAAACTTTCTACACAACATAAGTACATGTATATGTAGCAGAAAATGTCTTCTCTTGTTTCCTTACACGGGGTCCAGAGCCAGTGTAAATCTCCCCCTGGCATTGACCGTGGGCGGAATAACACATAACCAGTATCCCATAATACAACAAGAGAAGAAATCAACAACCAGACAGCAACAAACCTACAATAAAGGACATTAAAACAACACTACAAATCCACTGAGCAAACCTCTCCATCTTTATACGTATACGTGGGTGTTGGAGGGGGGGCTGCCTGGAGCCACGCCTCCTTTAAGCATGCAACCGCAATGGAGCGTATTGAATTCTTGTCATTCTTCAAGAGCTAATAGTCCAATATATAAACTGCTGATAGAGACAAGTGACAGGCTAGTCGAGCAGTATTTCCTGCTGTCTTTGTCCAGTGCCATTTCTGCAGCAATGAAGAAGGCAGTCAATCACTGTGGCCCATTATTGGAGACCATTCTTCTTGTGCTCTTGGGGCTTGTTCTCATTGCAGGACCAACCAGCGGGACTCAACAAGTCACCTTCTCTTTTAAGGAGAACACCGGACCAGATTATTCTGTTGGAAGAGTCACTGAAGAACAGGGAACAAACTTTAGGTAAGACATGACACTTTCTCTTAGGTCACACTGCACACTGGCCTCCAACACCACCTGCTGCATCCATTCTTTCATTTTGTGTCTTTTTTTAGGTTTTCCGGAGGCTCAACTTTTTGCTCTCAAAATTTCAGCATTGTCTCTGGAACTGGAGAAATACTGACCAGTACAAACATAGACAGAGAATTCTTAATTCAAGAGATTGATGATGACACCCTCTCCTGCTCAGTCACCTACAGCAGAGATGGACAAGACACTGCTGTACAAGTTAAATTTCATGTCTTGGATGTGAATGATTTCACTCCATACTTCTCTGGAATGACCCGTCCAGTTGATACTCGTAAAGTGTATGAGAACGTTCAAGTGGGCCAGGTCATTGCTTACTTGATGCCATTTGATCTTGATGCAGGTCCTAATGGAACTGTTAATTTCACTATTTTACATGGGAATGAGGGACAATACTTCAACGTATCCCTACCAGCAGGACAGACAGATACTCAGGACAGATTAATAATACTTAATCAAAAACTCGACTACACAACTCACCCACAGTATAATCTCACCCTCTCCCTCTCTGATGGTGGCTCTCCTCCACTTACCTCAACACAGTATCTTGTTATTAATATTATTGATGTGAATGATCAGGCCCCTGCCTTCTCCGAGGAGAAACTATCCTTTAACGTTTCTGAAGATCATCCTGTTGGTAGCTCTTATCCGTTTGCTGTGATTGGTGCCACTGATGATGATTCACCCACACATTCTCAAATATTCTACCAGTTAGATCTGGATGGATCTACTGATGCTTATGCTATTGCTGACCTTTTAGCCGTCAATACAACTTCTGGTGAACTTTACCTAATAAACAAACTCGAGTATGATGGGAACCCTAAGCACTCGTACAAGTTTCAAGTAGAGGCTCGTAATCCCGGGACTGCTATTGGTACCAAAGCTATTGTAACGTTGAATGTAACTGACGCCAATGATGAAGTACCAATACTAAACTGTTTACCGGAAGAGATCAATGTTTATGAGAATTCAAGCACTTTCTTCATTTTCTGTAGCTTTGAAGACAGTGATGAAGCACCTCAGGACAAGGCACTGGGTAAAGTTAACATCAGCTCTTGGCCAATAGAACTGGATCATAAGATGACTGTTACTCATTTATCACCTAATTCACCATACTTTATACATATAGCGTTCAATGATACTTTTGATCGTGAAGAAACTCCAAACATTAGCATCAACATAACTGCATCAGACAGTGGGGTCATACCTCTCTCTTCTTCTCAAGTCATTAATGTCACTGTCCTTGATATTAATGACAACCCACCCCAGTTCACTACTACTGGGATCAGCTCTAAGATAAGCATATCATCACAGCCTCCACTAGCAATAGCATCAGTTCATGCTACTGATCCTGATGAAGGCAGTAACAGTGTACTGAGATACAGCCTGACCAGTATAGAACCAGCCACTGCTGCTGACTGGTTTATTATTAATAATGATACTGGATTGATATCACTAGTAGAGTCACCTACTGAGGGAATCGCTGATGTATATATAACAGTTAGATGCAGTGATAGAGGCTACCCTGTACCACTGCACAACTCCACTGTAGTTCATGTACATATAACCCAACCAGTCACATATAGACCAATCTCATACCAGCAGTACAACAACATCAACCTAGCATCTTCCAATGTAGTCTACATTGAATTTCATACCATGAGCTCCAATGGACTGTTACTGTACCAGTCCCACTCTATAGTGAAGAACATTCTATGGATCAGTAATGACACTGTTTTTTATAATGATGGACTCATTAGGAGCAGTGGATCCATAGGGAAGGGTAGGTGGTATTCTCTTCTACTTAACAAAACTGAGGTAAGACCCAGTATGCATAGACTAGTCCTTATCAGTCCTTTCATATTCCAATAAGGATTCAATGGCTAATCTATTTTTAAGACTCAGCCTATACCTGAAACTGTACTGTCTATATCATGAGAAATAGCCTTTATTTTATTATGTTATTGCCCATTGAAAAGTGCATCTATTATGAGCATTCATTACTGAATAAGTTGAGATTATTAACACTTACATATCCATTGTATTATAAATGTGTTTGTTTCCAATAGGGTACACTGTTAGTATGGGAGAAAGGTAGTGACTCACCTCACTCAGTGACAGCTAGTGCAATACTGGAGACATCAAGAGTGAGAGAGTAAGTTAATGTCATTATTATACTATGAGTATATCATATATAACTAGTCTAGTAGTTCAGTAATGAGCTAATGATTGTAAAGTGGTTATAAGCTAAGAGTCTCAGTAGCTTTGTAATATTATCATTAGTGTCATTATGATAACTGTTATATATATATCCAGAAACAGTTGATTGGTTAAACTACTCACTGTATCAAGGTGTGATCAATGATGTGACATAAATGTACCCAATAAGAGAGTCATAGTACATTCACATTATAGTTTATAGTCCATGCAGACCAGTAAACAACCTCTTTAGGTAGGTATAGTATGAGATCAGACCATGTATGCATGTGTAATGAATAGAGATGGGTATAACCATAAAGAGGTTGTTGTTACAGTTAATGATATTATATTATAAGGAAGAGAGAGAGAAATGGACACTTTGAGGAAACCATTAACAGCATATGGTATGTATAAAGCTGATGATTCAGTGCTTGTGAAAGTGTTTACCAGTGCAATTACTCAACTGGAGAGACTGAAATAGAACAAAGAGTGTTTAATTACTATACATGAGGCTAAGAAGCCAGGTACTTGATAGCCTCCCTAACCACTGGTTAGTATAACCCAGTTACTCCCACCAGCCTATGAAAGAAATAAATAATCTCCACTGAGTCACTGTTTGTCTGCCCTATCCCCCTGATAACAAAGAACAGAATTAGGTGTATATACACTATCAGTCCTACTTCCTTTAAACTATCACAGCAATCCTCTCTAGCTCTCTTTCTATCTTAAACTGATAGTCAATATTACAACATTAAATTGCCTGTTAGTACACCAGTCCAGTGATGGAATAATAATCTCCATTGGGTTAATGGTTTATTCTCTTGATAGTAAACTTTTCCTGTAATAACATGAAATAATTGACAAGAGTAGTTTGCAAAGGATCATATTTATATTGCATTGCTTGAGGCTATGGCCCACCAGTAAACAATAGTCTAATAGAATATGTTATTACTCATTAATGCAGTATCATATTGAACTAATGGTGGCCCATTAGCCTCTGATCAGTTACTAATGGATATCAGGTTAAGGTGGGGTATCCCTGTTACCATAGGGCCAGTAAAGGATAGCTAATGATCATAAGAGCGGTATTTAACCTGATATCGTATTGATACTGATACTGATATTGATACTGATACTGATATATAAAATAGTTAATGATCTTAAGAAGAAAGATTTAGGTAAACAGGTAGAGAAGGACAGATACAATGGCTCTGGTACGTCATAATAACAAGTTGAATGATTTAGCCACACAAGCAGTGGGTTATGTACACTATCAGTAGACAATGAGTCTTTGGACTGCATTCCAAGGGTAGCTAAAGGCACATCTCCAAAGAGCAGACTCCATGTAGTTCAATACACTGTTGACATTACCTTCCAATTATAAAGTAGAGATATGTCAGACTGATAATATTCATTAGCTAATGAATAACTGAGATTAATGTCAGCAAAGATTGAGTGTCACTGTTAGAATAACTGATACATATCATTGAGTGGCTTGATCCAATTACTGAGCAATGAGTTGTAAAACCTGTTTATGAAGCTTGCTTTGGATCGTTGCAATTATTTAAAATTATATTTTCCCAAAAAGAAGCAAAAATAACACAAAATCTATAAAAGATTGAAAGAATTATCTCCAAAATAAAACCATAAACAGCATCAAAATGAAAAAAATTTAACACATCTATGATATATGACCAGCCCCTCTGGAGGTGTGTGTGTGTGTGTATTAGTAATGTAATACCTGAGGACTGAGATATCTGCTTGAGGTAAAGCTGAGGGCAGATATCAAGGGACCGATAAATACTAATTGCATGTGACATGTAACGTGTTTACTATCCAACAACTGATGAAGTAGACGATAATTAAAATTCTTGTTAGTCTGTTGTAACATCTGTTGAATTAATAAGTACATGTACACGTACATCATACTACAATGATATCTGACACGTACTAATGATTGAATGTCTCTATTTCCTACAGTTGTTCAGCTCAGCGTTCCACTCCTAATTCTCATTCACTGTTCGTCGGTGGAGTACCTGATGCTTTTAACGTGCTGCCCTCTCTACTGACCAGCTCTGATTTCATTGGTTCAATATCCGCTGTTGTCATTGGCAACCAACACCTTGACCTATCCTGCCCCTATTCCAGCAGGAGTACAGTCCAGGGGCATCACTACAACACACAGTGCATGGACACTGATCTTTGCTCTGATCGGTCCGACTGTGTACCATACACTCCGACTGGATCCAGCCCTTGCTATTGTACCAATGGACTACCGACTGAAACCTGTGATACTGACCAAGGTAAGGTTTACTGATAATTTACTGATAGTTTACTGATATTGCGGCTAACAGCTACTGCTTAAGAGTGATTTGAGTGTTGACTGGTTTCTGTTTGGTCAATAATAATTATTAAATTATTAATTTGTTTAATAAACAATAATTATCATTATGTATAGAAACAATAGCAACAACAATTAATTATTTCTGTGAATGGCATGTCAAAAGAATGTGTACATGTAGTCCAGCCTCTCTGGAGGTATGTGTGTTTAACTAAAGTAATACCTGAGGACTGAGATATTTGGAGGGCAGATATCAAGGGACTCAGGTATTGCATTACCTCCAGACACACACACTGGATTACATTCATGAGATGGTATGTCACTAGTGAACCATTAATGGTCACATTAACAGCAGATGGTAACATGTAGACTTTGGCATTCTTAACATTCTGTACAATATGTCAGAGACCAGCCCTACTACCGAATAATTACTGACCTACACACACACACCAATAACGCTGAACACACCAATAATGTAACACCACCACTCCTTATCCCTCCCTACAGACTATGGTCCCATTGCTATTACTAATGAAAGTTACATTCAGTTCGATTTGGACTACAACTTCTTCTATACTCATTCAAAGTTCCTCTCAGAGCAGAATCAACAACAGTCCCAGTCAATATCAGTTTCATTCATTCATGACATGACACAACTCTCAGGAGTAATACTCTACTCTAGAACCAATGATGGATTCATTCAAAGATTAGAGGTAAGATCATTAATTAACACTGATATATTAACACTGATATATTAACACTGATCACTGATATATGCTCTTCTCTTTTCTCACTGAGTGTGTAATTATCAGAAATCGATATCACACCTTATTGAATTATAATCATTATTAATTGGTTTATGTTGACATTATTATAAAAACTATAAAACTAATTACTTGAAAATATTATTTAATTATTAATAGTAATAAAACAAACATTAAATGTAACATAAGTACATGTAATTGTATCAGGAAATGTAACTAAAATAAAGAATTTTTTCCCTTTCAATTTTGGCAAATTTTGACAAAAGTCCCTGTACTATAGTACAGGGACTTTTGTCTGATTTTTGAGCAACTTATAAAATTTGTAAAAAAACCCAAATTTGATTGGAAAAAGCTCAAACTTTCTACATAACATAAGAACATGTATATGCATTAGGAAATGTAATAAAAATTAAAAATTTTCACCTTTTCATTTTTGGCAAAATTTGGCTAATGACCCTGTACTATAGTACAGGGACTTTTGTCTGATTTTGAATAACTTTAAAAAATCTAAATTTGATCGGAATCATCTCAAACTTGATACACAACATAAGTAGATGTATATGTATCAGGAAATAGCATATTAGCGATTTTAGATAAACTGTACATGTACATGTACTAACAATGCTGTAATGAGAAATAGGGACATTATGCTTGTGGGGTATTTTCAAGGACTACAATGGATTATAACAACAGTGAATAGTAACACATTAGGATTAGCACAAATCAGTTGACAGACACTACCATTAGCCACACACGCTGTCACTAACACTCAGCAAATCATGTGACTCACTGCATCCATGCATGCATGCATATCATTAAGGACAAGAATGTGTTTACTGTATACATAACATATGAATATCATTACCTAATGAATATCATTATCTAATGAATATCATTATCTAATGAATATCATCATCATCATTATTTCTCGTCCAATAGATTAATAAGACCATCAGGTATACTGTTACTCAGCATCAGATGCCAAAGCTTTCTCTCATAACTGAAGAATTTTCATTTAGAAAAGGAATAGAATATACTCTGGAGCTGATCCTCTCCCTAAGAGCTGATGATATGAGAATTAAAGTAACAGAAAAAGACTCAAACAGTCCAGGACAATATTTAGAAGTAACAACTAAGAACTTTAGCCATCAAAGTGAGTTCTATGCATTCGCTAAAGAGCCAGGAACTGTCATCAGTCTAGGGGGACTGAGTCCTTCAAAAGGAGGAGTCTATCAGAGACACTATACTGGGTGCATCACTGAGTTCAAGATAGACAGTGAGCCCCTACCACTAGTCGGGATAATGACCAGCAACAGCTTAAACTACACCAGTAAAGAAGGACTCCAGCCTTACTGTCACTCTTGCTACATGCACAATACCTGTACAGCCCACAGTTCATGTATACCTCAGGACCGGACCAACTACCAGTGCCACTGTGACAATGGCTACACTATGATCAATAATACCTGTGTTCAAGTATCGTCCACTGTATCTATTCCATCGTCCAGTGAACTGGCTACCATTAGACCCAGTAATATACCATGGACCGGTGGAGTGGAGAATCCAACGGAGAGTGGTGGGTTCAAACTCTACTACATCATATCAATATCGGGAGGACTAGTGCTCCTGGTTGCTGTGCTGCTAGTGGTCCTAGCCGTTCTCTTCAGATGTGTGTACAAGAGGGGAAGGAAGGAGAGAGAGGTAGAGGGACAGACACAACCCAGTCCCCACGGTAACGGGTGTTACACTGAGACCACACCCACTGATAAAGGTAACAGTGTCCAACTGAAGAGAGGAAACAACTATGTCAAGACGAGCATACTAAAGAACCATGGCCAATCATCAACTGATGATATTGACTCGTCCAGTGATATGATACCTTATACTTTTGGCTGTCGTAAGTCCACCAGTCAAGAGACAGGGTTCCATACTGCCAGTGAGCCGGAGGGTCCCAGCAGCCGCTCCTCCCCCAGGAGAGAGTCAATGATGTCCAAAGAGAGTGAGAGGTACTCCAGTGACTTCACTTCACTGGAGACAGACTCTGAGGACCTTACCACGTCAGGTATTGATGAGATAATGAGCCCCAATGAGGTACGACTGGTCAGTTCAGGGAGTATGATGGGGGTACCCTCTTCATTTCGGCTGCAGCATCCACTGACTCCAACTGAGAAGACCCTCCTGAAACCTTTACAACCAAGCTCCTCCCTCACACTCAGTGAGGATGAGACTGATACTGAGGTATCTACCAGCAGCCCCAGGAGGAGGGACCCACCCACTGGACGATACTATGAGGGGCGGGGCTACTTTGATAACGACTCACTGGCGTCCAATCAGAACAGCCCAAAGTGGTACAAAACCAGCTCCCCCTCTACTATCATCGACAGTGATTCTGAATCGATCAATAACGGGCTATTGAGTGGGTCCTTGACCAGACTAAGCTCCTTTCCTAAAGGTGGGCGGGGCAATAGACACAAGAGCCACCGCCCACCTAACCTATTGCCTCATGTACGCCCACACAAAGGGACTTCCCCCCATCACTCTCCCTTTGTGTCCTCTCCTGGCTACAGCTCCTCTCCTCTGGTTAAGAGCCACAGACTGGCCTTTGACTATCCTTCAATGGCTACATCAGCAATAACTCCAGCCCCTCCCACCTATCACCCACCCCACCCACCTCACGGACTGTACTATGATCACACTGAGGCCAGACTGCCCTCTATAGCCGAGTCCGTCCAGTACCAGCCCCGTCCCTACCACCCCCGCCCTCATGAGCACATTGACCCGTACTACACTGGGTACCAGGGAGTGGCCCTCACCCCAGGGGGAGGGGCTCCTACTGCTTACTGTGACCTCAACTCATTCTCAAAGGTCAATCCCATTACCTACTGGGAGGGGCAGCAGAGGCTTCATCCAATAGTTGATCAGGACGACCCCCTCAGGTTCCTCAGGGAGCCTTGTCGTAAGTTTGAGGACGTGAGTACGACTCCGAGTGTGGCTGAGAGTGGATTCACTGAGAGTGTGGTCGCTGATAGAGACTCCACTGTATCTGAACCTCAGGGAAGGAACCGGCCAGTTACCTCAAGAGGAGTTCATAATGACTATGTTGTGATGCCAAGGACACTGCCCCCACACCCGACCAATGAGGAGGAGGCTGGTTACCATGACAACAATCAGAGGTCCTACATGGAGGAGAGGAGAGGTTACCATAGCAACGATGATCAAGTTAATTACCGTGACAACGTACACATTGTTGACAGAAGAGGTTACCATAGCGATGACGCTGGGTTAAACGGTTACCATGGTAACATGAATGGAGCCAGAGAAGAGGAAATCACTCACTTCCCATCGGCTGATTGCACCAGTACCCTAGCAACCAATACCCTAGCAACCAGCGTACCTCCAGTGGCCCTGTCTAATGGCGGCAGCGAGAGACAGTATCAATAAACTATTCTTGAACTACCCACCCACACACACAATGTCACTAATTATTCTCATCATTATCCATTGTTATTATTATCCACTGTATTCCTCCTGTCATTTGTTTATTGTATTATTGTGTTCATTGCAACTGCTTACTTACTCTTGACAACAATGTCACCTTGCATTATTGATTCTTTTTAAACTGATTATAATCATGTCTTTCTTTAAACATTAAATTAATATCATCATAATGACGAACAAATACTATTGGTATATATATTGGGGTTAACACCCACCCACACACACTAATTAATTAATAATGAATATTGCTACCAATCAACAGTTCAATGTGAAGGTGTCACTATTAATAATGACTAACAATGGAGACATAGAGACACTGCAAGAAGAACTTAAACAACAAACAGATACTAGGTAAACAATAAGAAAAACTAAACATCAATCATCATCATTATCATCATCATCATCATCATCATCTAGAGATGAATTGAAAAGGAACATATCAGAACTTGAGCAGCAAATAGAACTGACTGGAACAGAGAAGGATAAAGCAATCAATGGTACTATACTATACTACTAGTACTGTGACACTAATAATGAATGAATGACTAAATGTACCTGTGTATATTGTATACAGGTAGTGTGTGGTACAGGAGGTACTTGTATCAGAAGTCACAAATTAACGGAATAAATAAAGAAATAAACAAAATAAAACAACAAGACACAGCATTGAAAAGAACCAGTCAGTAAACAACAAATAACTTCTATTTGTTATTGTTGTTGTTATTAGATGGATCTACTGATGATATATTGAGTGATGAGTTACAACAAATTCAACAAAACAGACAAATAGAAGTACACACACCCACCAACCAATACATCATATACTGCATAGATCATATTGTGCTTTATATACATCACAATACACAATACATCATATTGTGCTTTATGTAATAATTGTCTCCTTCTATAGATAGACTTGAGACAGACCCTACAGAGACTGGTACATGACAGGACATTACTGGAATGGGAACTGTACACTGAGGAATGGAGACTCAATAAAGAATCTAAAGTATGTATTAATTAACTACTGACCACACCCACTCATTAATAATACAATAGGATCTACAAAAGACTAACGACATCATAACAGAAACTGTTACTAGACTGAATGATGTAAGTATTAACCACACCCATTAATTATTAAGCCACTCCCACTAATTATTAGACATCAATAAGACTCAGTGTAACTCCGCCCACTCCTCATTTATCAATTAAAGATAATGAAAGAATAAGGTACAATACAGTACAATAATAATCATAATAATTATTATTATTACTATCAATAGAACTAATGAAAAAGTTGAAGAAATGAAAAGTGACAATAACTAGTTAATTAACTATTAATTAACTATTAATTGATTATTAATTAATGACGTATACCCATGGCTTGTTCCAATTGATGTCTCTGCTGAGCAATCTACACACAAGTACACCAATGGAATAATAATAATAAGAACATACCGTTATACATAGATGTACATGTATGTTACATGTACATGTACATGCATGCTTACTTTAGCATAAAAGTATCTGGGTACTGCGTCATTAGGCCAGGACTTGTTATAATAACTGGACAGTCTTTCAGATTCAATGGAACCAACTTTATCGGTCATTATCTATAAACCGCACCCACCAATTAATAGTGACCACACCCACCAATTATTACCTTAAGGTCTCTACTCTGTGATGCCAGCCAATCGTTGATGAATTTCTAATTATTAATAATTAATTAATGAAATATTTAATTAACGTACAGTACCTGGGGTTGCTGTGAAAACCCTAAATAGAATTCTCTTTGAAGTTTAATTGAATTAATTTGATCAACAGTATCATGAATCTAATTAACAATAATTAATTAATTAATCAATCAATTAATAAATACTTTATTATCCAGTGACAATATTTCTTGTTGATTTGAAGTTGATAATAAAAACGAATGCATTGGGACTTTAACAGGATCATCCTGTACAACACAAACAACAATAAACAACAACAACAAGAAACAAACAAGATGATATCACTCACAATATCAACATCAATATCATAACAAGCAGTTCTTCTACCATCAGGAGCATCAGCACTAGAACAACAAAACATAATAATTTATAACTGCATGTATTAGAAAAATGATTAGTATCAAGTTTGAGGTGATTCCGGTTAAACTTGGATTTTTTACAACTTTTAAAGTTTCTCCAAAATCGGACAAAAGTCCCTGTACTATAGTACAGGGACTTTGGTCAAGTTTCGCCAAAAGTGAAAAGGAAAGAACTCTCCACAATATCGAGTGGTTATTACTTGATGATGTGGTGTATTACAATCGGATCTGGTGCAAATAAAAGTGCCCCCAGTCTCTTTGGTATTTCAGTAAATTTCATCCGTGGGACCTCAAATATCTAACAATGAATAATGAATGCTGTTATTAATCAATCAATATCGTTACTTGTTGAAAGTATTTATCATTATTAATGAACTCTCTCTCTTGTGGGTCTTGGAGACGATTGTTCTAATAAATAAATAAATAAATAAACAACATTAATAAATAAATAAATAAATAAACAACATTAATAAAGAGGTACCTTAATGTATTGCCATATTCCATTGACAATGTCCACTTTGGTTGCTGTGTGGATCCCTAACAGTTTAGCTAACTTACTGCTCACCTTATACTGCTGGGGCTAGGGTAACAATAATAATAATAATAATAATAATAATAATAATAATAATAATAATAATAATAATAACAATAATAATAATAATAATAATAATAATAAATATAATAATAATAATAATAATAATAATAATAATAATAATAATAATAATAATAATAATAATAATAATAATAGTAGTAGTAGTAGTAGTAGTAGTAGTAGTAGTAGTAGTAGTAGTAGTAGTAGTAGTAGTAGTAGTAGTAGTAGTAGTAGTAGTAGTAGTAGTAGTAGTAGTAGTAGTAGTAATAATAATAATAATAATAATAATAATAATAATAATAATAATAATGAATATATTAATTACTTGATAATTAAGGACAAGAATGATTGTACTTTTGACACTTTCTTCCCCTGGTCTGGTAACCTTGACAACAGTGTATAACACTAGGACATAATGTACGTCACATACCACAAACCCGTCAATCTCTTCGCTGGTGCTACTGCTCCTGCTCCACTCTGAGAGGTGATTGTCGGGACCATAGGCTTCCTTGTCCAACTCAATCACAATATTACGAAAGAATGAGGAGAACTTTGTCTTGACATTAACATCAGGTTTTAGACCAAGCTAAGAGAAATATTATAAATATTGTAATCATTAATTATATTATTAATTATTAATTTATTATTATTAATTACCTCGTCAAGGACTCTTCCTTCAATTTTGAGTTCCCATTCTCCGACAGACCTCGCCTCCTCTTCCTTATAAGGAATCGATTGCATTATTAATTATTAATCAACTCACTGGGGCTGGTTTCCCGGTGGTGAATGAATGACTAATGAATACCCTCAACTTCCTCTTTTGCTAAACGTGCATTAAATAGAATAAAGTGCACATTAATTAGAATAAGGAATACTTTGATGTGATTGGGTCGTTTGAGTGTCTCCTGTATCTCAAGTCTCTTCCTCATTATGGTCGTGTCCAGTTTCCTCTCAAACTCCAGCAGGTCCATGTAAGCACCAGACTCTGGCACAAGGTCTCTTACCTGGAGGAGGAGGAGAGAGAGAGGGAATATATTAATGGGGTATGGTTCATTCTTTACATTCTGAGATAACATCTTATCACCAAGACGACGCTTCTTCCTAAAAATGAAACACAATACATAACTGGTAGGGAATTTGACGAGCAACTATAAAAAAATTCTCCCTGGATATTAAACCACACCCACTATTAATTAAAGCCACACCCACTACATACACTTTCCCCATTTGTGATTTCGCTTGTTTTGCTGCGTCTGCCATTCTCTTCAATCGGAGGGTATCACGTGATGAGGGGTGGACCATCCCTCCTCCCAGTCTGACCCCCCCAGTCCCTGAGGTCTGGAGCATGGCTCCTCCTGTTGGACGAGCAGGCATCATCTAAAAATAGTAACAGACAATTCTATTAATAGTAACAGTCTTACCATCATTCCTGATCTTGTGTTCATGTATTGTGGGGGAGGAGGGTACCCTCCTGGAGACATGTAACCTGGTACTGGTCTACCCGCCATTTTAGAACAAGCCACACCTACTAAAGTAGGGTATCCGGGAGTTTACGGAAATCACATGGTAATTAGTGGGGGTGTGGTCTAATAAACATGGCCTCCTTGAGGAAACTCTCTATTCTTCAGCTTGGAGGTTTCCTTTGCTCCAGACGAGTCTATCCTTCACTGCAGGCTCCGTTATTATCCAGGACCTTATCCTCCTCGTTCAATACTACTTTGAATAGACTCTACAGCCAGTACTACAGGTCCCAGTGCAGAGGCTACAGGTCTACTGTTAGCTCTAGTAACAGACAGACCCTCACTTATATGGCAGCCATTGCTGTTGCAGTCACTGGACTCTCTTATGCTGCCGTGCCACTCTACAGGCTCTACTGTCAAGTATATACTAATTATTATTAGGAATAATCATTAATATTATTGTTACCGATAGGCCTCAGGGTATGGTGGGACAGTCAGTAAGGCGACCAGTGGAGATAAGATTGAGAAGATGGAGCCAGTGGAAGAAAGAGCAATAACAGTAAAGTAAGCCACACCCACTAGTTATTAATAGTTATTAATGGTTATTAGGTTCAGCTCATCCATCAGTTCTGGGATGAGATGGAAGTTTGTACCTCAACAAAGAGAAATAAAAGTACATTAATGATCATAATGAACACACTAGTCTGTTTTATCTCATTAATAGTTGTTGCCAGGAGAAACAGCACTAGCATTCTACACAGCAACTAACCCAACTGACATACCAATAACTGGTATTGCTACTTATAATGTACTCCCTTTCGATGCTGGACAATACTTTAACAAGATACAAGTAAATAACACTGATTTGATACTAACACTGATATATTAACACTGATTTGACACTAACATTGATTTCCTTTTTTAGTGTTTTTGTTTTGAAGAACAAAGATTGAATCCTCACGAACAAGTATGCAGTTAATATTATTGTCTTTATTATTATTTTTAATTTGTAGGTTGATATGCCAGTATTTTTTTACATTGATCCAGAGTTTGTTGAAGATCCTGCCATGATTAATGTACACACTATCACACTCTCATACACTTTATTTGAAGCTAAAGACAATGAAACTATTCCTAATATTAACAGCAATAATAAATCAGTATAGTTTAAACAATAAATCAATCAATCAATACTTATGTAGCCTAAACTAATCATGTATACTAAAATGGAGGGACAACAATAACAGCTAATGTTTATAAGTATGAAGATAAACACACACTCATGCCAGCTGCTGTGGATCAGTCCTCATTATGCCATGTTGGAGTAAGCGACAGTGGTACGTCTAGTGCCACCAGCAGCTGCTCCTATTCCAATCCCGAGACAGCAGCAGACACATATCGGTATTGTTATTATCAGAACAACACAAATGAAGAATGCAACAAGTGCACCAATGACAATACCAACAATGGCTCCAGCAGTTAGACCACCTCCGCAAGTGTATCTGGTACTGCCATATCTAGAGGAGCCTGTATTGTATGCTAAATAAATAAATGAAATAAAGTCAATACAATCATTATCATTATACTGGACATACAGCATGTGACATTAGCAGCACTACTGCAATAAACTGATGATGAAGGACAGCTACCTCCAGAACACTGAGACAGACAACTTTCATAATAACAATCAACATTATCCAACCAGGCTGTACCAGTACTATAACACAATAATGAAAATAATAATAACAACCAGAGGTGTATAACCAACTTCTACCATGACATGACACTTGAAAAAGAACTACCAGCTGCTGATAATAAGGCCCCGATTGACATACATACAACATATCTAACAGGCTAGGCCAGTAAAGAATCAACCAAACTTGACAAATGGACTAATAAGAGCATAAGGGTAGAGCGACAAGTTTCTAAGTTTTTCCGGGAGGTATCTAATAAATTTAGAAACCTAGTATTCTGCAATCTGATAGGTCAATTAAAATTTGGCATGGTAGAATAATAATAATAATAACACTCAACACTTACAATGAAGTAGAGCTGTAATCACTTTGATCATTATAACCAAGTTGTGTACACACGGTAGTAGCTGCATAGCTATCAAATGATGCACTGTTGCAGACCACACCCCACTGGCCGTTACAATACACTTGTACCATTCCTTGTCCACTGTAGTATCCATTTTGCAGTCTTACCATTCCAGTGTAGGGACTGTCCCATATCCTGGTTGAATCTATTGTTAAAAGTATGATATAACTTCATGTGATAGTAGGTATTCATGATGATATCATACTGACTCGTTACTCATAATAGTAATGTGGCTATTCCTGTATTTACTGTATGAGCATTGGGAGTTATAGTGTATCTGCAATGATTTGGCAATTGTTTAGTTATTGATTGTTACAATGAGGGAAAGGTGCTATACTGACTCAATGATGGAGACAAAGCACACTTGCTAACCACAAAATAGACAGAAAGTATAAACAGTTACACTAAAGCCAGGCATACACTAGGCAACATGTTGCCAGAAATAGAAGGCTGTTCTATTTCTGGCAACATGTTGCTTACAAGATCAAAGTAACCACAAATGTTGCCAGCAACATGTTGCCTAGTGTATCATGAGGTAGGAAGTAGGGGGGGGGGGCACTGCACACGGTTGACAATGATACATGCAATTTCTTGCATTAAAATTCACAAAACTGTCTTTTTCTACTAGTAGCCATATTTTTAATTTGAATTAGTTCAGCTGGTCCATGCATGCATTTAAGGAAATTAAAATTGACTTGAATGACCTGGTAGATTATCATTATGAGCTGCTTATAGTATACATGCTTTGAGTTGAAATGGGGTAATTTTCAAAAAAGCCAGTCAAGTCAAAGTGAGGGGGGCAGAGCCCCCATTTCAATAAAGGTGGGGGGGGGACAGCTACCCCCCCCCCCTATTCCTACGCCCCTGTACAGTATGCCTAGCTTAATTCATGCTAGAGCAATGCCCATCACATGTACATGTTACAAAAAACATTAAACTTCCAAATATGGCAAGGGGTCATGAACTTACAGCAGGTCACTTCCACATTATCAGATGAGTAACAGGTTGAAGGAGGACTAGAGAAATGTGTACATTGTAGTATGACCAGGCTGTTGCTTGAACATGAGACATCATATATAACTGGAGAGGTGCTTAGGTAGCTTGAACTAATAATGAAAGCAATAATTTTCATTGCATGCATTGACTAACGTGCTCCCAGAGTAGCCCCCAGTATATCCTAACTGATGACAGACCACACTAGGTATATTGCCAAAGGATCCATAAGCATATCTATCACAGATAGGGCCCCATTCACTATTATAATACACTTCAACTACTCCTTGAGTGTACGTGGGGAGTGAGCCTCCATTCACATTGAGACGGACAGCTCCATTTCCTTGCCCTGAAAGAATCATAAACATTATTATAACATTTATTATTTTGCTGACCATTGACTGCACTAAAGAACAAGAGAACAACAACTGGAACAAGGAGACAAGAATTCATTTCTCTGGCCCTGGCCTGGCGCTTGAAGAAATTATTAATTATTAATTAATAATAAGTTATTAAATTAAAATAAATGGCATGCCACTCCTTAGCCGTTACGCCCACGTTGTTATTGATTAAACCATAGATATACAAACACACTAATCATGTATACTAAAAATAATGGAGGGACAACAATAACAATTAATGTTTACAAGTAAAGATAAACACACACTAATGCCAGCTGCTGTAGATCAGTTCTCATTGTTATATGTTGGAGTAAGCGACAGTGGTACGCTTAGTGCCACCAGCAGCTGCTCCTATTCCGATCCCGAGACAGCAACAGACACATATCGGTATTGTTATTATGAGAACAACACAAATGAAGAATGCAACAAGTGCACCAAAGATAATACCAACAATGGCTCCAGCTGTTAGTATTAGACCACCATCACCATCGCAAGTGTATCTGGTACTGCCATATCTAGAGGAGCTTGTACTGTATGCTAATAATTAAATGAAATAAAGTCAATACAATCATTATCATTATACTGTACATACAGCATGTGACATTAGCAGCACTACTGCAGTAAACTGATGATGAAGGACAGCTACCTCCTGAACACTGAGACAGACAACTTTCATCATAACAATTAACATCATCTAACCAGGCTGTACCAGTACTATGTCATACAATAATAATAACAATATTAAAAACAATCAATACTTACTTTGGGGTATGGCTATAGCCACTTTGATCATTATAACCAAGTTGTGTACACACAGTAGTAGCTGCATAGCTATCAAATGATCCACTATAGCAGACCACACCCCATTGGCCGTTACAATATACTTGTACCATTCCTTGTCCACTGTAGTATCCATTTCGCAGTCTTACCATTCCAGTGTAGGGACTGTCCCATATCCTGGTTGAATCTATTGTTAAAAGTATTAATGTACATGTTGATGATATCATTACTGATAGCTAATGTGGCTATTCATTAACTACTGTGCATTGGGAGTTACAGTGTTTCTGCAATGACTTGGCAGTTATTTAGTTATTAATGTTTACAATGAGAGGGAGAGCCTTGTTACTAAACTATCCATGATGGAGAGAGAGAGCCCAGGGCAAACACTACAACAGTTGCATGCATGCTACCCATAGATACGTTGTACATACACTTAAAATGACAACAACACATGAAGACTTTGTGTCTTCAAGATTTTGTTGTGTCATCATTCATGATAATGTAATTCATGCAGGTCACATGTACATGTTAAAAAAACATTAGGCATATGATTAAAGGTCAGAACTTACAGCAGGTTACTTCCACATTATCAGTTGAGCCACAGGTTGAAGGAGGACTAGAGAAATATGTACATTGTAGTATGACCAGATATTCACTTGAACATGAGACATCATATATAACTGGAGAGGTGCTTAGGTAGCTTGAACTAATAATGAAAGCAATAATTTTCATTGCATGTGAATAATGCATTGACTAACGTGCTCCCAGAGTAGCCCCCAGTATATCCTAACTGTTGACAGACCACACTGGGTATGCTACCAAAGGATCCATAAGCATCTAAATCACAGATAGTACCCCATTCACTATTATAATACACTTCAACTACTCCTTGAGTGTACGTGGGGAGTGATTCTCCATTCACATTGAGACGGACAGCTCCATTTCCTTGACCTGAAAGAATCATAAACATTATTATAATATTTATTATTATGCTGACCATTGACTGCACTAAAGAACAAGAGAACAACAACTGGAACAAGGAGACAAGAATTCATTTCTATCTTTTCTTTTGCAGTTTCGCTAGAACCAACTCAACGCTGAAGGCAGCTATGAATATGATTATCTACCACGCCCTTTTCCCACCTAATAATCATATGAATAAGCTGATAAGTGACTGTGATCAGTTCTTCTGCAGTTTTGATCAAGAGATGGTCTCCTTATGGTGTCTAATAGTAACTGAATTATACTTATTCCATTCAATTGAAGGTAAGTAATGTGTTTATTATAAACTGCAATCACTGCAGCATTTTTTTATATTTTTATGTTTTTACTTGCATCATCATGCATGCTTAGTTACACCGCCACTGATGTTTTAGCCATTGGTATTACCATCTTATTGCCATTATAAACTTAGTGAGCTTAATTTCAACAAAACGTATCTGCAATATTTTAGTAGAATAATAATAATAGTAATAAATTTATTATAATATTGTGGCCCCACAGCAGTAAGTGATTGTGTGGTTAGTATTTCAACAGAATGATCCATCATTGTGTCTGTCAACAAACTGAACAACATAACAACAAATATTTATAATGCATGAACAAACCAGTACAGTCTAATTGATGACAAATGCATTTGACACTACATAATGATACAACCAACTGCTTAGCACAGGCTGCCTATGCCAATATGGCAAGTCAAATGATGTTTAATGTCACATGGTCAGTTTATATTCATATTAACAGGACAGGCTAATGGAGATGTAAGACTAGTTGATACTCATCAAACTAGAGGAGGAGGAGGAGGAGGGAGGCTAGAGATATTCATTAATAATGAGTGGGGAACAGTTTGTAAAGATCAGTTTGGTATCAGAGAAGGTAATGTGGTATGCAATCAACTTGGATACATCAGTGCAGTCAATGTGGGCATTGTCAAAAGATTAGGGTAAGCATTATGAGTATGATCATTGCTATTGATTGGAGTATCTATAGCTATGAGTATGGTAATGAGTCACAGTCAATTCATCTTGATGATGTACAGTGCACTCATGGAATGAGACACATACTGTCATGCAACTATATATCAGGCAGTGGTGACTGTGATCATTTTGGAGATGTTGCTGTGATATGCAGTGAGCTAGCATACAATACTTGTTCTATTTATAGCTGCTGCCCTATTTATAGATACAACAGGTTACTATTCAGTAGGTGAGTATGATGGAATGGTTAGACTAAGAGGAGGCTCTATACAATCAGAAGGACTAGTTGAGGTCTATTGCAACGGTGAGTGGGGCACAGTCTGTGATGATCAGTTTGGACCTAATGAAGCTGACACCGTCTGCAGACAACTGGGATATACTAGCTCCTTATATGGGCGTATAAACGGACTGTAAGTACCTTTAGAGTTTTGCTGGTTGTACCTGCCATTCCTCCTTTAGGATAGGGAGTGAGTCACAGTCTATTTGGTTTGATGATGTAGTGTGTCCATTGGAGTCCTCTTGTTTGAATGACTGCAAGACTTGTCCAACCACTGAGTATCATGACTGCACTCACAAGGAAGATGTTACCATCCGCTGCAGTGAGATCAATAAATATTATTATCATTATCAATTATTATTATTATTATCATAGCTTATGATACTAGTGTACAGTTATATGGTGACAACAAGACATGTAGAAACAGTAAGATGACATCATCATCATTATTATTATTATTATTTATTGTTTATTAGTAGGTGTTGGTTCTGGAGGATTGAGTGGTGGTATTATTGCTGGTATAGTAATAGCGGTCTCACTGCTGCTGTGCTGTTGCCTAGCAACACTGTTTGTAATACTACTAACAATCAGTGTGATGAGGAGGAGGAGAGAGAGAGAGGAAACGAAAGAAAATGAAGAACACACCAAATCACGAGAAGAGACTCCTCTAGAGGAAACAATCATAAAATCAACTGAAGTATTGACACCTCATGGAGCGAGGACTCTGCCCACTCATAATTATGATGTACCAATATTCAAAGAGGAGGAGGGGCCAGTATATGAAACAATACCAAATGAGGGGGGAGGAGCTAATTATTACTATCGTGACACAGTTCTCTATGATAAGCAGGATACACCTGGTGTCATTTATATCCAACCACCAACAGTCACCACTCCTTCTGTCAGTGAGAAACCGTTCCCAGCCATGCCTCCTCTTAAAAAAGAATAATTAAAAACAAAACAACAATAATAATAATAATTATAAATTTTGTAGTACAGAGACAGTTAATTGTTAGTCATCAGTTGTTAGCAGTCGTTGTGCTGTAGATACTTCCTCTCTCTCTTTCATAACTATCCAAAACTTTTACCAAATTGGCAGTAAATAATTCACACCTAATATTGAATTAATTCTTATTAATTATTATTAATTAATTACTTGATTGGCATATCCAGTGAATAAAATGGGTTCTTCAATACATAGTCGGAATAAAGCTCGTAAATCTTTCGTAATAACTCTGGCACTTTTGGTTGTGATTTACCAGCTACAACAATAAACTTGACACCTGAACACACAGAGAGAGAGAGAGAAGAGAGAGTGAGAGAGAGAGAAGAGAGAGAAATTATCTGATGCATAAACATGTATTTATGTTGCATAAAAAGTTTGAGCTGATTCCAATCAAAATTGGATTTTTTCCAATATTTAAAACTTGCTCCAAAGTCAGACCAAAGTCCCTGTACTAGAGTACAGTGACTTTGGGAGGTGATAGTTCCAGTACTCACCAGTTCTAGTCTGGGTGCAGTTGATGTTGTAATGCTGAGCCTCCAAGCATTGGATACCTTTGGATCCTTCCTCGGGTGACAAACGAACAGAAATAGCATAAATACTAATGATGATGATGATACAGTAATGGTGCCGCCCACACATTTAATTAGCTTACGAGTGTAGCATGCTCATTAACATAATCCTCTCATTGATTGATGCCTTGAGTCTCTTGAATTTGAGTTTGATTGGAAATGATGACGGATCATCAATAACACTCAGAGCTGTCCGTCCATCAGGAAGACACTTATTAACTACTGGCTCACCATTAATGGACACCAGAGAATAACCAACTAATAATAATAATAATAATAATAATAATAATAAAAATAAAATAATAATAATAATAATTATTATTATTATTACAATATTAAAATAAATATACATATTACGGGTACAAGATGACGGAACACTTTTATTAAACTGATTGCTGTATCTCAAATCCTGCTAGTACCTTGTATAACTGGTTGTCCGGTTATCTCCGGATTCTGTACTTCTCCGTATTTTAACATGATATTCCGGTCCACTTCCTCCAGTACGAGTCCTTGAACTGGGTACCTGCTGTACTCCACCTCTCCTTCTCCTTGAGGGTAGCTCATGTCGTGAGAGAATATCAACCCTCCAGCTTTACTGATGATATACACACTGTATATACCCATCTTCGATAATGGGCGGGGCTGAATGTTGACCACGCCCTTCACTAATTGACCACACCTATTAAAATGGCGTTTCTTGAAGAAGTAGAAGAAAGTGCTAATTTGCAGAGACCAGTTTGTGTATTGTGAGTGTTTATTGGTTACTGGCTTCTTCATTTGATATACAATCCTCTGTTCTAGTTGTTTAGTGAATTTTTCAAAGTATAAGTGTCCGAGGTGTGATATTAATTATTGCTCATTAAATTGCTACAAATCACAGGTAAACTAGTTAGTTATAATTAATTATTATTTATAATTGTTACTGTAGTCTCATTCACATTGTTCTGAGTCATTTTATAAAGATTGTGTATTAGAGGAACTCTCTGTAACCAAAGGAAGGTAATTAGTGGGTGTGGTTTACTAATTTGTAGGTGTGGTTTAGTATAGACTTTGAAGCCTATATCAGCTTAATTTCGAGGGTACAATTTACGCTGTTTTCATGGATTTAAGTTAATTCCATTAATTATCCGTATCACCCTATAAACGTGTAGTTGAAAAGAACAATGAAAGTTAATTCACAAAATAAGATGTATAACCTGATTTGCAAAAGTTTTTTACCTCAAAACTTTGTGGGTATATAGTACATGTATGTGGCAAGGGACTATTGATGTCCTTATGCTGTGTAGAAAGTTTGAGGTGATTCCGACTTCAATTTTTCAAGTTACGGCCATTTTAAGAAAACGGCAAAATTCTGAAAATTACCCAAGGCTATAGTCCATGGTTTTTGTCCAAAAAATGGCCAAAAAATCATTCCAAATTTTTATTAAATTTTCTGATACATATTGATGTTCTTATGCTGTGTAGAAAGTTTGAGGTGATTCCGACTTCAATTTTTCAAGTTACGGCCATTTTAAGAAAACGGCAAAATTCTGAAAATTACCCAAGGCTATAGTCCATGGTTTTTGTCCAAAAAATGGCCAAAAAATCATTCCAAATTTTTATTAAATTTTCTGATACATATTGATGTTCTTATGCTGTGTAGAAAGTTTGAGGTGATTCCAACTTCAATTTTTCAAGTTACGGCCATTTTAAGAAAACGGCAAAATTCTGAAAATTACCCAAGGCTATAGTCCATGGTTTTTGTCCAAAAAATGGCCAAAAAATCACTCCAAATTTTTATTAAATGTTCTGATACATATTGATGTCCTTATGCTGTGTAGAAAGTTTGAGGTGATTCCGACTTCAATTTTTCAAGTTACGGCCATTTTAAGAAAATGCCAAAATTCTGAAAATTACCCAAGGCTATATAGTCCATGGTTTTTTCCAAAAAATGGCCAAAAATCATTCCAAATTTTTATTAAATTTTCTGATACATATTGATGTCTTTATGCTGTGTAGAAAGTTTGAAGTGATTCCGACTTCAATTTTTCAAGTCACGGCCATTTTAAGAAAAGGGCAAAATTTTGGAAAATACCCAAGGCTATAGTCCATGGTTTTTTCCAAAAAATGGCCAGAAAATCACTCCAAATTTTTATTACATTTTCTGGTACATATTGATGTCCTTATGCTGTGTAGAAAGTTTGAGGTGATTCCAACTTCAATTTTTCAAGTTACAGCCATTTTAAGAAAACAGCAAAATTTTGAAAAATACCCATGGCTGCCTTAGGTATGTCCATGGTTTTTTATAAAAAATTTCCCCGAAACACTTCAAATTATAATCTATGATACATATATTAATTATTAATTAGTGGGTGTGGTTTATTACCTAGTGTTGATGGAAAGAAGAAAATGATTGAGATATTGTCACAAATGAATAATGAGGAAAAGCAAGAGGAGGAGGAGGAGTCTGTACTTAATGAAATAAATACTGGTATTTATTAGTGGTTGTGACTAATTGTCAGTACATTATTAGATTCTGACGATATTTGGAGGAAATTGAATAAAAGAGAAAAGTCGACTTTTTTGCAAATGTATAATTCTGGTACACTGGCAGAACTAGTTGTGACCACACCTCCCTGGTGGGCGGGGCCTGGTATTCAAGTACTGGGTGACAAGGAAAGAGAATTACCTTTGATCTATTCCGACATACCACAACTGAACTCGTTAGTGAAGGTACCTGCGTATATCACTGGCCAGTACATGTACATGTAATGGCAATTTGAAATTAAAATTAGGTGATTATGGTGTACAATTTTTAACTAAAAATTTGGCAAAATTTCACCTCATATTGGATGAGAGTTTCAACAAATTTTAACCAAAGTGGACGATAATTTTGATAACAAATTAATTTTCTCAGTAGTCTTTAATTTTGTGTCTCCTTCTCTAATTGACAGGTGGTATCAAGTGATGTACCAAACAATATAATTAATATAATCTATTGTTATATTTATGTTTATAAATATTACAATAATGATATTCACGATCTTCCTTTACAAGCAATAAAGGTACAAAGTAATTATTAATTGTATTATTATTATTATTATTACTATTATTTTAGACGTTGTTGGAAATATCTAGTGTATTATCTGAAAACTCAAGTTTCTCTACAGTACAGGAGGCAATTGATCATCCAATTGGTTTAATTAATAATATACCTGATCTGTTTAACAGTCATCAATATTCATTGTTGTTAATTAATGATTTATTATTATTAATTAATGGGAGCTCACTAAACGGTCATTATTACATATCATTATGTTTATCTGATATAATTAATATCATCGACAAATCAAGAGAAATATTGAAGAAAGAGAGAGAAGGTATTCATTCTAAGTGATGTACGTTATTAGTTTTACTATACTTTTTATTTTTAGACAAAATTCTGCGACAGAAACTGACAGTATTACATAAAAAGTTAATATTCTTATTATCATGGACTTCAGAGAATCATGAAGACATTAAATCATTAATACCTTGTATCAGAATGTTAATACACTAATTATTATTATTATTAATGGTGATAGTCAGTCTGTGTTGTAATACTGGCAGCAACAGTTTGTGAGCACTTTGAACATATGAAGAACTGCTTGAAGCCTACAAGAAATAAAAGGAATATAATAATTAATGTACTATGCAGCATAAGTACATGTACATGTATCAGGAAATATGGAGAATTCTCTACTTCATTTTTCTGTGAAATTTGGCAAAAGTCCTTGTATAAAGACTTTGATCCAATTTTTTGAGCAACTTTAAAGATTCATAAAATGTCCACACTTGACTGGAATCAGCTCAAACTTGCTACACAGCATAAGGACATCAATATGTATCAGAAAATGTAATAAAAATTGGGGGTAATTTTTTGGCCATTTTTTGGAAAAAACCATGGACTATAGCCTTGGGCATTTTTCAGAATTTTGCTGTTTTCATTAAATGGCCGTAACTTGAAAAATTTGAGCCGGAATCACCTCAAACTTTCTACACAGCATAAGGACATCAATATGTATCAGAAAATGTAATAAAAATTGGGGGTAATTTTTTGGCCATTTTTTGGAAAAAACCATGGACTATAGCCTTGGGCATTTCTCAGAATTTCGCCATTTTCATTAAATGGCCGTAACTTGAAAAATTTGAGCCGGAATCACCTCAAACTTTCTACACAGCATAAGGACATCAATATGTATCAAAAAATGTAATAAAAATTTGGGATGATTTCGGAGCCATTTTTTGGAAAAAACCATGGACTATAGCCTTGGGCATTTTTCAGAATTTTGGCGTTTTCTTAAAATGGCCGTAACTTGAAAAATTTGAGCCGGAATCACCTCAAACTTTCTACATAGCATAAGGACATCAATATGTATCAGAAAATGTAATAAAAATTGGGGTTATTTTTTGGCCATTTTTTGGAAAAAACCATGGACTATAGCCTTGGGCATTTTTCAGATTTTGATGCTTTCTTAAAATGGCTGTAACTTGAAAAATTTGAGCCGGAATCACCTCAAACTTTCTACATAGCATAAGGACATCAATATGTATCAGAAAATGTAATAAAAATTGGGGTGATTTTTTGGCCATTTTTTGGAAAAAACCATGGACTATGCCTTGGGTATTTTTCAGAATTTTGATGTTTTCTTAAAATGGTGGTAACTTAAAAAATTGAAGTCAGAATCATGTCAAACTTTCTACACAGCATAAGAGCATCAATATGTATCAGAAAATTTAATTGGTATGTACATGTATAGAAATATTTATCAGTGGGTGTGGTCTGATTACCTCAAGGTATAAACTAGTAATGTATTCTTGACCTTTATCTTCTGATGACTAAAAATTAATTAATAATTAATAACCTTAATTTAATAACAAATTAACCTTCTCATTAATCTTCTCTGCATACAAAGAAGCAATTGTCTCAAATTCATTTGATATAATGACAGTAATTCTAAATAAGTAAGTAATTAGTTAATATTTTATCAATTACAATTACTTCTTTAATTTCATGGCCACATCTTTTACATCAATAGATTCACCATCGCTAGGTATTAATAGTATTTCTGATGTCTTTTTGAACAGCTGCAAAGAACTGGAACAAAGTCTAGCCATCCCATTCATAGACTCCACATAAAGCACCTGACAGTAATTAATAATAATATCAATAAATAATTAATGAACAATACTTCAATATCTTTATCAACTTCTTCCTTTGCTTGAATATTAATATCTTCATGACACTAAAAATCAATTAAATATATTAATTAATATATAATTGACTAACTTTAATTAACTGATCAGCCTTCACTCTATCAATAGTTAGTGAACTGATGTTAGTGAACTCCTTCCCATCCCCAGGGTCTTCCTCCTCCTCCTCCTCAATGTTAAAGTATTGACATAAAGACTGGACCTCATCATTCACTGATTCACTTTCAATCGACTCCAACTAATGAATTATCATCATTATTATTAATGGATGGATGGTTATTACTTTGCTTGTACAATCACCAGACAACATTTCAAGAGCTTCTAAATGTACTAATCCTAAAACATAAACAAACAAACAAACAAAACATAAACAAACAAACAAACTATGACAATACCTCCGTGTTGCTCAATCAGTTGTGAATAATTAATTAATGATGATGTATTTTCTTGATTATTATCATCATTGTTATTATCATTGTTTGTTTCTTTGGCTTCTTTTAATAATTGTGACAAGGTTTTAGTGTCTCCAGTCAATAAAGCTCTCTTCTTTCTCAAACCTATCAATAACTAATATTATTAATAATTATTATTATTAATTGTACCAGGATCTCCCTCAGATATTATGTCAACAGTTTTCCTTCCAATAACTTCAAGAGCATCCAATCCACCAGACAATAAACTAGCACCCTAATCAACAACAACAACAACAACAACAACAATAATAATAATAACCACGCCCCCTTTAGAGTGACTCATTAATTCCTCACTGACAGTGGATTGCACAGCTGTTGCTAGTCCAGTGAATATCCCTCCAATAGATTGGTCCTCTCTCTCTTCATCAGTGGTACTCTCTCTCCTCATCTCCTGTGGAGTTGGGACCTCCTCCTCCTCCTCTCCTCCTTTATTAATGACACTGCTGGTATATTCCGTTGCCTTGGTAACAGCACTGCTCAGTGTACTAGTAATACTACCCCAACCCCACGACCAGGAACTGGTACCAGACTGACTGGTGCCAGTATCGGACTGATTAGTACCAGTATTGGACTGATTGGTACCAGGATCGGACTGACTGGTACCAGTATTGGACTGATTGGTACCAGGATCGGACTGACTGGTACCAGTATGGGACTGATTGGTACCAGCATGGGACTGATTGGTACCAGGATCGGACTGACTGGTACCAGTATGGGACTGATTGGTGCTAGTATCAGTGTCTGTGGGCTCAGCATTAGACATTGCAGGTTCAGTATGAGTCTGTGTGGTATCGGTATGAGCCTCTTCAGTATGAGTCTGTTTGGCATCAGATTGAGAAGTGTTGGTATCAGATGCCTGGTCAGTATTCATTGTTTGTTTGTTGTTTATTAGTTTGTTGTTGCTTTGCTCCTCCAGTACCTAATCAATAATGATAAGGATATTAATAACAATAATTATATAACTACTTTTCCTTCAGAGTCGCTCTCAGCACTCTCAAATTCCTCTTCACTCTCAACTTTGTTTTCCTCCATTTTATTTATTGTACTACAAACCACACCTACTACAGCCACACCTAGATCTACTAGATATATGGGTGTGGCTATTCACACGAATAAAGATGGCTTCTGGCAGTGTAAGCTAAAGCTCCTTTTCTTCCTTATTGTTGTGTGTGTGTGTGTGTGTTTATAGAATCCAGTAGGAGTGAGTGATGGTTTTAGGAGGACCTGGGACCGCTCGCTGTATGAAGGACTCGCGAAGGAAAGGCTAAAGAAAGATAGCAAGGGGAAAGGTATGGGGCGGCCACAACCACTGCATGAGGTCATGAGGAGCTGGGAGTCTGAGTATTAATTAAAGAACACAAACCACTTAACCAAACAATAATTGATTATGATTATAATATTGTTGCATAACATCTGTTTCATTAGATGACAAGGATGATAAGCCACAGGAGAGAGAGCTCCTCAAACACAGAGATTATAAAGTAAATAAATAAAGTATTATTATTATTTATTGTTTATTGATAGATTGATTTAGATGGTAAATTAGGTAAATCCCTGGTAATTACTCAAGCAACTCCTCAGTCTCAGAGTGGAGGGTGAGACCAACCAGTCACTTATTAATAATTAACCATCATCCTCACCATCAGGTACTACTGTAATGTCTGTGATTGTGTCATTAAAGACTCTATCAATTTCCTGGACCACATCAATGGAAGAAAACGTAATCATGCTACAATGTACATGTCACACTGTCTCTGTCCAGGCACTAGTCCTTGGATCAGTAATATTGACCTGACTCACCTAACCTGACCTCTGTGATGTGAGGTTGTGTAATAGTTGGAGACTCATTATGATTCTAAAGGCCACCATACACCATGAAAACAGAAATCAATGAAACTTGAAACATGTTTCATGAAATTAAAAATTTCAATTTTATGAAATGTGTTTCAGGCTCCATTGACTCCTCTATAAAAGATGTTTCATGTTGAATGGCGGCCTTAATGTTAATAATAATGAGAGAGAATACTAAGGCTCTTAGGCTATGGTTTGGCTTTGGGTTTATGTTGTTATTGTAACCTTTCATATTCTCCAACACCTGTACACACTAGCCTCTGCTGGTTCCTCCTCCTCTTCTCATATTCTAATGTCCACTTGTACCTACACTTAGCTACTTTATTTATGTCTCTCTCCCTCTACTGTAGATCAGAAGAATATGGGTATGTCAATGAAAGTAGAGAAGTCAACATTAGATCAAGTGAAGAGAAGGTTTGCTGTAGCACAAGAGAAGAAACAAGAAGAGAAGAAGCAATATGGTAACAGAGAGAGAGAGCCTAGCTGGGAGAAGGTGATGATGTTCATTTTATTGTTTAGATTTTGATGAGAGAATGAAGGAGCTCCATGAAGAGGTATAGTGGGTTTGGGTTTGCATTTGGTGAGTTTGTGGTCAAGTGTCATTGAGCAGGCACATCATGATTGTGAAATTTTTAAAAATTTCCCCTAAAATAATTATTAGTAGCTGTAAATGGTTTGTGTGTGTTTTTAAATTGAAAATACTAAAACACTGATAGGAAGAGAAATTGAAAGAGTACAGGAGAGAGAAGAGAAAGGAAAGGAAGAGGAAAGGGAAACCCGAGGAGGAGGAGGAGGAGGTGCCTCCAGATCCTGAGCTGGAACTGATGATGGGGTTCAGTGGCTTTGGAACTAAAAAGAAAAAATAAATAAAACCCTCACTCTCTCTCTCTTACTGTCTTTTCTATGTCATCACCACTATCATTATTATTAAATTGTTGTTATTGTATTGGGTCATTGGCTGTGGGTGGGGGAGAGAGTGAGAGAGAGAGAGAGTAGTGATGTGGGGAGATAGAGGAGCCATACAGAGTGCCCTTGATTGTTATTAAACATTAGATTAGGCTCCACTCTGAGTAGTTCTCATATCTGGACTGAGAGAGATCACGTATTGACTGAGTAATGGAATAGTCTGGTGCAAATATTATTATAAATATAATAGCTTAAAGACAAATAACTAATTATAATCATTACTAGGAAGTAAACAAAAGCTCTAACTGTTGTGTGTACATGTACATATATACGTGTACACGTGGACTGCCATACATGTACATATACAAGAGGTCTATGGCTGAGTTCTTCTTAATACCACAGTGGAGTGGGTCTCTCTCTTGCCTTCCCCTCTCTTTTATTATTAATTTCTAAGAAAATGATAATAAGAATAATTCATAATAATGTCAATAGACTTGAACACACCTCCACTACCTGTGACATAACAACTGTGGCTACCTGGCTACACATCTACACATAGAGAGAGAGAGAGTGTGTGTGTGTATTCATTATTATTATTTATTTATTTAGTACTAGACACATCAGTAGTATAAACTTAAAGACCTCTCAGTCATAATGTCATACAGTAGAGTCTCTCTTGACGCCCACACATTTCTATCAATACACCCACACTGGAGTACTCTCCATGGAGAGGTCTATATTTAGAAAATGCTGACAAACGTAACTAATTTATAATTCTGTAACAATTAGTTTGTTGATGGTACTATTGCCATAATTGTACATTATTATCATTCCTATCTGCCTTTGTAGTCTCTACATTCTCAGGGAAAGGGAGAGAGAGAGAGAGAGGGTGGGATGAAGTAGGGGCCTTTACATTCAGTAGTTTTTATCAGTATACTCAATCCTAAAGTATACAATGATGAATGAGTCCTTCACTGATAGGCTATTGTACTGGGTCATCATTAGCAGGTGAACCACCATCAGTGTACACTGAGGAGAGGACAATAGAAAGAGGAGAGTAGTCTTGTGTGCATTATAAAGTAGGAGTGTGTCCTCATTCCTTCTATTCATACTGTGGTCAGTGTGGGCTTATGTTAATGACTGTACTGGAAAGGCTGGCCACAATCCCTCTTTTAAAATTGAAATAATAAATGGCTGCCTGTCTCTCCCCCTCTCACTCGTAGTGAGTGAAGATGATTTGTTTCTCAGCATAAGTTTGCAAACACTTAACCACAAGTACACATTGGCCGTTATCCAGAACTGCATAATACATGTACACATACTGCATGCACTTGTACATGTACATGTACATTTATGTTAAAAGCCATAAAATGATATTATTGAATTATTATTTCATGCATCTTTAAAGCAAAAATGTACTACAGGAGCAAAATTTGCTGCTTAGGCTCATTTATACCATGGTAACACGGGAATACCATGGTAACACGAGAAATACCATGGGAACACGAGAGATCACGTGATCACTCAGTGCAATAAAAACTGGAGCTTGTCGGAAGATCATAATCAGTTTAAGCAAAAGAAGAGAGAGAGACTTCTCTTGTAACGAGGAGAGACTAAGAAGAATATTGGTGCTATAGCTGGCTATAGCTTAAAGAGACGAGCAGGTTCTCGTCCCTATACACGAGCTGGTCTCGCTGTCTTTCATCCAGTTGATCTGGACCATAGCTGAAGGAGAGCTGGTCTCTCAAAAACTTCAAATCTACGATTTTACAAGCTGTGCTTGGATTTAGACAATAAAAAACAAAAGACTAAAGTTATCTGTCCTTCTACCAGTAGCAGTAATGGCAGTTGCCGTACATCAAGTGCACACTAGACCAGTCGGCCACCCGTACGGGCCAATACAGCAGCAAGTCCAGTCTGGAGCTTTGTTCGGATACACTGGAGGGAGTAGGTATTATTCCTTCAATGGAGCTAGTCCCAGTCCACCCCCTGAGGCTAATGGCTACTATCATGATCTTGATGAAGATGCTTTCCATTCTGACGAGGAGCTACAAAAGGTATGTCAATAGACACCATGCATTCATTAACTTAATAGCCCAATGCACTGACACATTAGCAACTTCTGGTCTGTTGTAGGCTATACAGTATCTCTAATATCTTATTCGTAAAAACACCATGCATATGTGTCACAGTGTACCGCTAATGGTAAACAGTTAATGATGTCATATCAGTACATACCATTGGTGGCGACAGAGTGTCTGCATGTTTTAAACCACAATGTATAAACACCATGTGTTCATCATTTGATCACTTCTTTCTTTAATTGCAGACTCAACAAGAAATGGAGTGTTATCTTGGCGGACGTCCTGCTAGTTCCACCAGTTCCGTTCTAACTCCTCCTCCTCCAGTGTCGAGTCTTGATGAGATATTTCGTGACATTGATATACCCAATGGAGGACCTGTCATCAAATCTGAATACAACGCCCATAGCAGCTGCAAAATGGCCGCCTCATTAGAGAGTGTGAAGATAAAGACAGAGCAGCAGCAACAGTATTATCATGATGTCAAGTATCAGCAGCAGCAGTACATTGTTGGAGGCCATTACCCTCCTCCTCCTCCCCCTGCCAACACTACCGTTAACATTAACCTCAACTACAGTGCGGCCATGTACTCTACCACTGCACCATTGACCCATTATCCAATGTCCCCCCCTAGTTCTAACCCATCATCCCCTAAAGATGGACAGTACCCTGGTCCACTGGTCGGTCTGCAGCCTGCCCCTGCAGCTACCTCTTATGCCGCTCCCTTTGACGTCATGAGTGCTGTCTATTACTACTCCAAGCCCCCCCAGAGGAACAAGAGGGTCCATAGGTGCAGCTACCCCGGCTGTAACAAGGTCTATACCAAGTCCTCTCACCTGAAGGCCCACCAGAGGACACACACTGGGGAGAAGCCCTACAAGTGCACCTGGGAGGGTTGCAATTGGAAATTTGCTAGATCAGATGAGCTCACCCGCCACTACAGGAAGCATACTGGAGTGAAGCCATTCAAGTGCCCTCATTGCGATAGGGCTTTCGCTAGATCGGATCACCTTGCTCTTCATCTGAAGCGACATCAATGAATGAATAATGGATAATACCATATATGGAGTAATGAAGTGATTAATGTAAGGACTCTCTCTTTCTCTCTCTGTCACTTACCTTCTTTCCAAGTATTTAGCAATTAATGACCTCTACCATTCCATTCCACACACACAATTTATGCTTAACACTCTTTCTCTCAATACAATACATTATTATTATTATTATTATTATTATTATTATTATTATTAATTTGTTAATTTTTGTGTGAATATTTCTGCTCCATACTGGCTCTATGGACGCAGGTTTGCAGTGCAAACAGACTAATAATAATAATGATTATTATTATTATTATTATTATTATTTTTGTAATCCCCTGTATTCCCTATGATTATAAAATTAATTTGAAAAATACCAAAAAACATCAAATGTCATCATCATCCAGTGCAGGAACCACACACATACACATGTATAATAGGATATACTCACTCAGTGTGTGTGGGGTGTGTATTGAGTTATTTGTTCACACAGACTCCAGTGAGAGGAGTGATCACTACTATCCACTGCTGGCATATTTGACACTGCACTCTACTGCCACTTAATATATCGGATTACATGTACATGTACAGTAGATACTGGACCATACTGCTTTAATACGTTATACACATCCAATCTCAACATGAAAATGATTATTTTATTATCAACATTCATACATACATAAAGACACAAAATTTATCAATAATATTAATTAATAATACAAAAGTAGAAAGACACTCATTTTCCTTGATCTCTCATAATATTAATTATAATTATTCTTTATTAATATTCTCTCCATCATCTTCCTTATCCTCATTATCATTATCATTAGCAACAGGGAGTGTGTTCCCTGGTGTGCTGATCCCATTGCTTCCATTTGATGCTTTATGCTTGAGCAGGTGCAGATTTAAGTGGTCAGATCTTGAAAAAGATTTATCACAGAACCGGCATTGAAATGGCTTCTCTCCAGTATGACGTCTGTAATGCCTTGTCAGCTCATCGGATCTTCTGAAGGCCCAGTGGCAGCCTTCCCAAGGGCACTTGAAGGGCTTCTCTCCTGTGTGGACTCTCCTGTGGGCCTTGAGGTGGGAGCTCTTGGTATACATCTTGTTGCAGCCATTGTGGTCACAGTGATACATCTTCTTGACTTTGCTGGGACAGGATGATGAGCTAATCTTGATCCTAAGAGAGAAAATATTTTAAATATGAGACAAGTCGTAGTATACTTAATAATAATAATAATAATAATAATAACAGTGTAATAGCAGTAATTGAATCTCTTCTGGGAAATATGGTAATCTAATGATAGTCTAACATGCCATACTATGAGAACTAACATTAATAAACAATAAAATAATAAGAATAATAGAAAGTTCAGGCAGACAAACTTTATAAAATGAAATAAAAGTTATTGTAATATGACAACACCTTCACAGTTTCCTATACTAAAAACACATGGAGGGCAACAATTGATGAGTTAGTGTATGGGGCATATGTACAGGTATTACTGATGGAATAGATAGACTGTGTCTAAAGGTTAATGGAAGAACAGTGCGAGAACAAGGGAACAGGACAACTAACAACATTAAACTGAGAATGGAGGAAGAGAGAGAGAGAAGATTAATTCTAATCAATATGTGACAAACAAGTTAAAAGTCTAAACACTATTTACAAAGAATTTCCAAACACTTTTAATCATCAATGACTGTAGCTCCAAACACAACACACACACATACACACACAGAGAGTCATCCTAGAGTTATGACTGTAGCTGTATCAGATTGCATTAGTGCTACACCACAACAAAGAGACTACATTTCCTTTATACTCCATCAAAAAGACCCTAATCACTCTCTCATCCTGAGACCAGAAGCACTGAGAGAGAGAGAGAGACTACTGAAGTTATCTGATTCTTAAGATGTGATGACACATGTTGTGGAGGTACCATTCCTTCAATAGATTCAACGGATAATTAATTACATAATCCATAAAAGGGAATAGTTTACTATGGGACCATTATGAGACATGATGTGTAGTCCAAATGTTAGCCACAATTATTTTAAAAATTATTATTAGTGGCTGTGATACACCCACGCACCTTCCACCCACACACTATAATTAAAACAAAAGCCACAGAAATGTCCACCCACACACACCAACTTCATAATTATAATAAAATAATATCTAGAGCTTACTCATTGTTGTTATTGTTATTGTCAGCGACAGCTGCTGCAGCTAGTGACAATAATGATATACTGCCATTGGTAGCCACACCTCCAGACCCCGCCCCTTCATTAGGTACTCCTGGGGGCGTGTTAGGTACCACTGGAGGCGTGTCACTTCCCACGGCTTTATCAAGGACTGGCACTTCTACTGATTCATTCTATTAATAAAATAATAATAATAATAATAATAATAATAAAGTAATTAATACCTTTATATCATTGGGTGTGGTAAGTATTGGTGCTGGTACGTTGATGTGTTTATCATTGGGCGTGGTCAGGATAGGCGTGGCTTGCTGCGATAAGGCATACTGTGGCTGTATGTAGTAGAGATGTTGAATGAGGTGGGCTGGTAGTGTACAGGTCAACACAGCCTAGAGTGCAACACAACTTATTATTACTGAGCATACGCTACACATGACTACATGTACAATAATAAAGACACAATGATTACCTGTCCATTAGGAGAGGTGTGTGTCAGATATGATAGAGGGAACTGGACCAGCCGAGGGGACACACAGGGAGGAGGATCAGCAGCAGGAGGGACAGGACCAGGTGGACCAGTAGCAGTCTCTGAAGGAACTAATGACTGACTAACAGGAGGGGACTCTGGCTCAGTCTTAATATCCTCTAATAAAAGGATAAATAATAATAATAATGGTAATAATAATAATAATTCATTTGTTTGTGATTATAAGTAACTAATTGTTCTTGCAGGCTGAGCCCCACCCTGAAAGCCACGCCTTAGCCAGTACAGTAGACACAGTATCACACAATATAATGAGGACTGAGGACCAATAGGACAATGGAACAGGTTCTCATGAGCACAGAAACTAGCAATACAACAAAATAAACCTTGAGGACTGCTGCTTGGCCCCTCTTTGCTAGCAGTAGTAGTTAGTGAGTCTGCAGTGACTGCAGTAGCAGGTGAAGGACTAGTATCAGCTGGTAGGGAACCTTCACTAGAAGCAATAGATACATTAACACCAAGAGGAGTAGCAGTAGATCCTTCAGTACCAGTACTGGTATTCATTATGAGGAGTTTAGGCGTGAAGAGATGCAAGAGATCACGTGATGCAAGCTAGGTGTCTTAGCCACACCCACAGAGAATGGAGCTACCTCATATTGGAAGACATTGCAATGTCAAGACTTGTTCTAAGCTTGGTAAGAATGGACAGTAATGTCTACTGAGGTTACTTCTCATTTTAGACTTCCTACCTTTTGAATGTGACTGTTGTCATAAAATATTTTGGTGAGATGATTTTGATAATAAGAGATTATGTATATAATATATATAATATTCATCATTCCTTCAGTATTGATCATAAAAAGTATGAAGATCACGGCTGCACTGAATCATACATAAAAGTAATAACTATCATTTGTATTACATTATCTGATGCATGTACATGTACTTATGTTGTGTATCAAGTTTGAGGTGATTTCGATCACAATTGGATTTTTAAAAGAATTTTTGAAACTGCTAAAAATTTGGACAAAAGTCCCTGTACGATAGTACAGGGACTTTAGTACAATTCATCATAAATGAAAAGCAGAGAATTCTTGATTTTACTTACATTTCCTGATACATGTACTTATGTTGTGTAAAAGTTGAAACTACTGTACATGTAATTCCATTTCCAATCAAGTTGAGACATTTTACAAAATGTTTAAAGTTTCTCTAATCAAAGTCTTTGTCTATAGTACATTGATTTTCTGCTGATTTTTGAGTAACTTTAAAAGCTCATGAAATGTCTAAAGCTCTAGCCTACATGAGATGATCTTTATTAGGATGTACGTGTTCCTGTGTGTCCTTTGTGTTCGGTTCCTTTGGTTTTAAGAAAAGGGGAAGATCCTAATGTCATAGTTGATGAACACATAATGAAAGACTGTACTGAAAAGAAGAATAAACTTTACACCAATCGCTGCTCTTATATTGGCTGTAAGAAAAAGGAGGTTAGAATTATTATTATTATTATTATTATTATTGTTATTATTACTATTAATAGTTGGTTCCTGTTAATTGTTCAAAATGTCGTCAAAACTTTTGTTTGAGGCACAGGCTGGAAGCAGACCACAACTGCAGGTTATTAATAGTTATTAATAGTTGTTAATAGTTATTAATGGTTATTTGCTATAGAGGTGTTGTAAGTGGTACATCACATAAAGGAGGTAGTACAAGAAGTAAACCAGTTATTAACACTGGTTCTACCGGTTCTACTAGTAAACCACAGCAATCATTAATGAGTAGAATTGGAGCTGATCTTGACCGGTAGTCATTAGTTTCACATTATTTTTCTGCATATTGTGACCTGAATGCTGTATTGCTGTACATTCTGCAGCTCTGTTCCTCGTCTTATTAATTTTGTTTAGGGAGAGAAGGGAGAGGGTTAAAGAAAGTACTAGAAATGTGTCAGAAAAAGAACAACTGGTAATTAATAATAATACAACAACAATAATAATAATATACTACTACTACTAATAATGATGTTGATCGTAGTCAGTTAATGAATTATTAGGTTCAAGATGAAGCTCTTGCTCGGGCTTTGTCTGAAGATTTGAATAAAACCCAAGACACTGAAGATGAACAGTTAGCAATGGCTATTCAGCAATCTCTGAAGGACACAAGAACAACAAATAAAACAACAAATGACAACAACAATTGTGTATTATCATAAACTGGTGCAATTTTTAATTATCATTATTATAATTATTGTTATTGTATATTAATAGTGGGTGTGGCTTGTTGTCATGGTAACGTCAATATTAATGAGTTTGTGGTGATAAGCATCAGTTGATTTCAACTTATTATTTCAAGTGTAGGAGAGGCAGTCACCAACTCACCATTAGCTGTCATAATGTCTGAGAGTCAGAGCTTGTTCCAGGTCTATTATCTTGGTTGTCTTGAAGTTGATAGAAGGTTTAGCTCTTCTGTATTGCCTTGGATCACGGAACAATTGAAACTTGAACTGGAAGACATGAAACTAGTTTGGGTAACCCTAGGTGAGCCTAAGCCACTAGTATTACTATTATTATTATTATTATCATCATCATCATCATTATTATTATTATTATTATTATTGGTGTTGTTGTTGTTGTTGGTAGGTCCTTCCAGTATTGGGTATGTTGCTGATTCAGGAGAGCACATCACGAGTCATCAGTACAAGTCCATTATTCGTTGGAGTCCTGGCCTTGAAGGAGTCTCCTTTGCTTATATCACTACTCATGATAAGGACAATAAAACCTACTGCCATGCTTTTCAATGTCTTGATTTGAATGAGGTAATTCAAGTTATATTTAAAGTAATTAATCAAAATAAAACTGGCCATTTTATTATTATTAGTTTGAACTATTATGTACAAATTCACAAAATTAAAACCCACCAATCATCAATAATTGTTAAAAGATTGTCCCTCAAAGTTACCATTATACATAGCACGTGTGTTTTAATTGATGTATTATTAATAGGCTAAGGTTATTGTCCAGTTGTTTAACGAGTATTGTTTATCGTTTGATGTTTCTTCTGAAGCACCTTTCATGCTGTCTGGTGACAAACTGGCCAATCTAATTCATCAAAACAAGAAAAAGACTTCAAAGTCTCGTGGAGGAGGAGCAGTCGCTAGACCAGTTGACCAGTTTAATGTGATTTATTGTGGATCAATGAAAGCTAAAATTAGGACTCCAATTAATGCTAAACTTGTTGACGGGTTTGTGTCCTGTTTGTCCAAGAGAGAAAAGCCTACTTCAGCTAAGAAGTACAAGAAATGGCGTCAGACGAGAAAGAGGGGTTCCGTGATACCTACCGCAACTAAAGCAGCTCCAGTGAACAGCATGTTCAGGACAGGTAGTGTCAGTGATGAAGGCAGCAGCGATGTACATGTACATGTACAGCCTGACCCTGGTACTGAAGAACAACGGGTTAGGTCAACCTCTGAGGTAACGAATAGTTCAATTGAAGGAGAGTGTACTAACAATGATGATAATAATGGAGGAGGAGGAGGAGGGGGATGGGATGTATCAAAGAAAGAACAAGGTACACTAGTAAAGGATGAGGATAGACATGAAGCAACTACTGAAGGTAATGTATATCAGTACCTAATGATGGTGCAGGTATCTTTACTAGTAGGAGAGTCAGTGAGACCAGCTCCAGCAACACGTGTTGAAGTACTGGACAGTTCAACTGAAGTAGATGAGGAATTTGATGATACTGATTATATACTGATTGATAATGATGAAGGTTTATTGTTTACTGTTTATTAATTGTTTATTGTTGTTGTTGTTTATAGACTTTTATGATGTTCCTCCTGATGTATTTGATTTACAGTCGGAGCCAGGGTTCTCAACAATGAGTGTTGATGATGTCATCAAATGTGTCCGTGAGAATCTATCAAATAATATAGAGACCACATTATACTTGTCAGGGTCTACTTGTGAAATGAAACAGGTAAACAATTAATATTATCAACTATTATTATTATTATTATTATTGTTATTGTTAGGAGAGTGATTCATTAATATTCAGTTATAATACTAAACGAGTTTTAGGATGTGCCCAGGTTTAGTCAATTAATGAAATTACTGATTAATTAATTATCATTACAGGGTCTTCAGTTTTCAGACTATGTTGGTTTTGTTACTAGAGAGAAAGGCTCTTCAGATATTACATTTCATTTGATGTCCTCGAAAGCTGCAGCTGCCGTTATAAAATCATTCAAATCTTCTTTTGATGAATATGTCTCACAATCCCTTCCATTCACATTGTGCCACTCGTGTCCGATAAATACATTCAATAACATCTGTCAACAAATCAACGGTGAGTAACCATGGCAACCCACTGGTACTTAAAGTGAATGTTATTTTAGGTAGTGAGCTAAGTACTCGGTCAATGTATCGGCTGCTTGAAGTGTATTTGAATGAAAGTGAAATATCAGGACTGGATTGTCCTAGTGATCCTTTTGAGAATGACCACACCCAGCTAGTGAGATGGGTTATGAGACTGAGCAAGTATTTTAAGAAGAAGCAAGCTCAGCACAATCACCAGGAGAAGAGAGAGAAAGAAAAGAAGAGGAATGTTGGGAAGAAAGCAATGAAACTGCTTCATCTTAAATCTATGACTGGATCCTATGATAATCTTAGAATTAACGAACAGGTAATTAATAATTAATTGTTTAATTATATTCATTACTTGATAGAGTAAACATCATCAGTATGATGCCCTCCACTCCTCCAGTGCTACTAGTGTGTTACAAGTATGTCACATCTAATAATAATTAATTATACTTCTCAAAAGTTATTCATCCAAATCAGCTCAAACTTTCTACGTGTATCAAAAAATGTAAAAAAATTGGAGCGATTTCGGACCTATTTTTATTAGTAAAACACCTAAGGCTTTAGCCTATTTGGCTCTGAAGTTTTTCAAGAATTCTCCTGTTTTAAGGGCATGTATTCATGTGTACATGACTACATTAATAGATACATGTACATGTTATGTATCTGTTAATAGTTACATGTAAACATTTAGGGAACTGGTAGTGGATACACGTCAAGTCAACAGTCCTCACCAACAAGCAACCAGTTAGTATAACCATTAAAACTATTATTAACTATTATTAACTATTAATAACTATTAATAACTATTATTAACTAGTGACGTTGGTTGGAGTAGAGAGGTTTCTCCTGATCACAAGAGGAAGTCTGGAGTGACGAGTGAGGCTACTCCTTCATCGAACAAAAGAGCACAGTTATTAGTAACAGGTAATAACAACAGGCTCAGGACTGATTCCGGAGCACCCAGTACTATTGATAGACCTGGTAATACCCTCTATACTTAATGTAGTGATTGTGTGTCTCATTAGTGAGTCCTTTAGCCGGTGACAGTGGTCACGTGAGTCCCAGCTTCCAGTCACCATCAAGGAAAGGACACAAGAGGTCAATGTCTTGGAGACAGCAAATATTTGAAAGTGTCACCCCAAACAAGACTGACTCTAGAAAATCATCTTGTAAGTATCAATGTTAATCATCCATTCCATCACCATCACCATCATCATCACCATCATCATCGTTATTGTTATTGTTATTGTTTGTTAGTAAGGGAAGTACTGGAGCTAGACTTGTCTCATAAGCCGCCAGTAGGAGCCCCAGTAGCAGCTGGACCTCAAAGAGAATCAACGGATGAAGTGGATGGTCCCAGTGGAGCGTCTGCCACAGCCAGGAGGAGGTGGGAATGGGCCATACAACAGCAGCTGCTACTAATAAGATTGGACAAAGCCAACCAATCCGTACTGATGGAAACACTCACTAGACAGAAACTGAGTTATGCTGAGTTAGCTCTTGACACCAATGTAATGACAAGCGTTTGGAACAAAATACTTGAAAATACAAATGAAATTAATAATGAGGAATTATTGGCTTCAATTAAAATGGGTTAGTATTAATAATAATAATGAAAATGATAATAAATTTAATAGGTATACCTGCTAAGTTGAGGGAGAGGGTGTGGCGGTTATTAATAGTACGTTATAAATCTTCCAGTTCAGTAGCTGCCTCCTCTGGTTACACAAGATTAATTAATAATGATCAATTCATTGATTTATACTCTCAACATACGGAATATGAATCACTTATTAATGCTGACCTTGGTAAGTATATTTATTAATATTTCTTATTATTAATTATTAATAGATCGTACGTATCCTAAGTACCAGTATTTTTCCAAACAAGTCAAACATGGTCGTATGTCACTGTGTAATGTATTGAAAGCTTATTCTGTAGCTGATAGAGAAATAGGCTACTGTCAGGGACTATCCTTTGTCACTGGTCTCTTCCTATTACATGTAAGTGTACATGCTGTACTTATTGTGTTATGATGATTACTGTCTCTTGTAGTCCAGTTCTGATGTGGATGGTTTCAATATGTTAAGTGACTTTATGCATATCTATGGATACAGGGACATCTACTCATCAGATATGTATCAATTACAGGTTTACTACTAATATTAATTATCATCATCATTGTTGGTAGATTAAGTTGTATCAGTTCTCAAGACTGGTTCATGACTCACTGCCTGCGTTACACGTTCATCTTGAGGATCATGACGTTACTCCATTCCTTTACGCTGCTCCTTGGTTCCTTACTTTATTTTCGTCTCAATTTCCTTTAAATTTTGTAGCTAGACTAATGGGTATGGACACATTCCACTGTCTTTAATAATGTCTTTTACTTTAATAATAGATTTAATTTTATTTGAAGGAGTCGTAGCAATATTTAAGGTATTCAATATTATTTATTATATTTTGTTGCTGTTAGATTTAGAGGGAGCTTATAGGACACTTTTGGTTAGCTGAGGTGTCTCCCATTTTTAGTTAGATTGGTCTTGTAAAACTTATTTCTGGTGATCATTATTAAATACTGTACTGTCTTGTACAGGTTGGATTGGCCATCTTAACGCACTATGAAGAGGAGATCAAGCAGTTAAATGGAATGGAGTCAATCACTGATTTCATCAAAGTCTCAATACCACATTCTGTAGAGGACAGTGTATCCGAGATATTACACACAGCTGTACAAATACCGGCTCAATCATTGGCCATTAAACTGCAGACATTTGAAACTGAGTATCATGTGATGCATGAGATAATGGCAACCTTTCACATGAAGGAGTCCTCATCAAGTGTCAGTGATACAAATGAGCTTTTGAGAAAGCAGAATAAAGACCTGATAGAGCAACTGGCAGTGTGTAGAGGGGCAATATTGAGACTTGAAAGCATGGTAACAAGTTTGAATGAAAGGGTAGAAGAACAAGAGAAAAGAATTGAAAAGTAAAAGTACTTTGATTATAATTATCTCAGTTTTATTATAATGTGTAGATTGGAGGTTAAAAGAATTGAAGAAGATAATGAAAATGTTGAATTATTTTATAGTGCAATTGATATTAACAAGAAATGAATGATACATTTTGTGCAGTTGTTATTATTTTTAAAGTGAGAGTGTCATTATTGATTATCAATTACTATACTATACAGTGCATGCACCGATCCTGGCATGGTAGCAACAGGGGGACTCCCTCGCCCACACTCCTAGGCAAAATCCTCCCCTTCCCTCTCACATGATCGGGACTAAAAGCAGGTCACTGTAAAAAAGGGTAGCTCAACCCATAGCATACACTGAAAAAATATGCTGATGTCTTCATTGAATCCAGGATACTTTCTCCTGTTTCTCTCCTTCCTTGATCCTCTCCCGACTGAAAGACAGCTAGTGATGAATGATCCGATTGTAAACTGACAGGAGAAGTGTAGAATACTGATGCTTGAGCCTCAATGCTATGGTAACATTCGGAAGTGTTGTGTCCAAAGTGAGAGATCTGCCTCCTATAGCTGATGTTTTGTCCAATGAACCATCAAATCATATTTATAATCATGCATGCATGGACAGTACACACATCAATGTAAAATGGGGACTCTGTCATGAGCACAGGTACATACATAAGGAATCAGTAAGAGATTACCCAGC